TGGTGGTAATGAGGATGGTGGTAATGAGGATGGTGGTGGTAATGAGGATGGTGGTGGTAATGAGGATGGTGGTGGTAATGAGGATGGTGGTGGTAATGAGGATGGTGGTGGTAATGAGGATGGCTGTCATGGACTCATGGATAGCACCTCAACATCAAGAAAACAAAAATCCTCACAACTGGAGCAATAAGCAACGCATGATAAATGGAGAAAAGACTGAAGCTGTCAAGGATTTCATTTTACTTGGATCCACAATCAACACCCATGGAAGCAGCAGTCAAGAAATCAAATGACATATTGCATTGGGCAAATGTGCTGCAAAAGACTTCTTTAAAGTGTTAAAAAGCAAAGATGTCACTTTGAGGACTAAGGTGCACCTGACCCAAGCCATAGTATTTTCAATCGTCTCATATGCATGCGAAAGCTGGACAACAAACAGGAATACTGAAGAAGAATTGATGCCTTTGAATTGTGGCGTTGGAGAAGAATATTGAATATACCACGGACTGCCGAAAGAACAAACAAATCTATCTTGGAAGAAGTACAACCAGAATGCTCCTTAGAAGTGAGGATGGCAAGACTTTGTCTCATCTACTTTGGACATGTTATCAGGAGGGACCAGTCCCTGGAGAAGGACATCATGCTTGGTAAAGTGAGGGTGATCAAAAAAGAGGAAGACCCTCAACGAGATGGACTGACACAGTGGCTGCAACAATGGACTCAGACAAAAAGATTGTGAGGATGGCGCAGGACCGGACGGGGTCGTTACGAGTTGGAACCAACTCGACGGCACCTAACAACAACATTATGTACTCAGGGTCTAACTCTTACTCTTCTAGTAATAGTTCACGCGTTTTCTTTTATCCTTTATACCACTCATTTCACACAGGAAGAAACTAGGATTCTGAGAGTTGTTAGGAGATGGAACCAGGATACCAACCTCTACCATTCTGACTTCAAGCCCCGACTCTTTTTGCTATTGCAAATGAAACAGTGTAAACTTTGTATAAGAAACTGTAAAGAATAAGATACAAAGTAGTATAAACAGTGACAACCTACAAACTATGTATTTAAGAATACCCCAAATTTGGGCAGAAAAATCCGTAACAGTGGCTGTCTTTGAGTAGTGGACATGGCCAATATTCTTCTCTTTCTTCTGCTTTCAACGTTTTCCAAATTTTAATGATACACTCTGTTATTCTTTATTATTGATATGCATACTTTATATATCATTGTTGTTGTTAGGTGCTGTCAAGTTGGTTCCGACTCATAGCAACCTTATGCACCACAGAACGAAACACTGGCCAGTCCTGTGCCATGCTCACAATCCCTGTTATGCTTGAGCCCACTGTTGCAGCCACTGTGTCAATCCATCTCACTGAGGGTCTTCTCTTTTTCGCTGACCCTGTACTTTACCAAGCGTGATGTCCTTCTCCAGGGATTGATTCCTCCTGTCAACATGCATGTAAGACACAGTCTCGCCATCTTTCCTTCTAAAAAGCATTCTGGTTGCACTTCTTCCAAGACATTAAATATCATCATACAGTGTTAAAAGTGTATATGGTAATACACTAATTTTATACATGAAAGCAAAATCTTTCATGCCATAAGTTTTAGATACTGTAATAAACTAAGTTATCTGGAAATATAAGTTAAAGACTGACTTACATTTTCTTGTTTTGAAAGAATCTTCTGGTATAATTCATCATCAGACTTCTTTTTGGGGAGAAGGTCGAGAAGGCACATTTTAAAAATCTGAATAAACATCTATTGCCAAAAAAGAAAAAGTGAGAAAGGTTTTAACAATCCTTTTGCAAATGGGATCTAACTTTCCCTTTATCTGTCTGTCCCTCCTTTCCACGCTCTCTCTCTGTATCTATCATCTATGTATTTACCTACCTGCCTACCTGCTACCTGCCTACCTGCCTACGTACCTACCTACCTACGCACAAACTTTCTCCTATAGGAAAAGAGCTCAGATTATAAATCACGCCACACAGTGGCCCATCATGGATTGCATTTTCATGAAGTTTCTAAAGAATGCTTTAGTTCCTCTTCATTCATCCATTCAACAATAATTATAAGATGCCTTCTCTGTGGAAGGTCCCTGGTTGGTGCAAATGGTTTGCACTGGACCCAATGGGCCTCCGGGGGTGCAGAGACACCCTCTAGTTTGGGAGTGATTGTGGTTTCACAGACTGGCGCTGTTCACGAGGTCGGTCCTGCTCCCATGGAGGCCAGATTTCTTTTGGCTGCGTCCCCAGTTTGAAAGTCTTAATTCTCCAGTTGACAACGAGGTTGCCCCAGGGGCACATCCGTCTGCCCATGTCTCTGTTTCTCTGTCCCTCTCCATCTCTCTCTCCTCCCACCAGGCTCTCACTCCTCCTGCTGTACGTCTCACCTCTCATTCAGTATTTCAGAGGACGTGTCTCAGGGAGAAATGATTCCCCACTTGCCCTCCTTCATCACGATGTCTGGCTACACTCACCAGGAACTCTGTTCCTACAGTGAGACCCCTCCCTGTGACACTGTAGCTCAGATCCAGCATTGATTTGATCAAGGGCTGTGTGTCTCTGGCAGGGACTGGCCTTGTTTTTCTAAAGTCCAATGGCCCTGATTTCTCATTATTCAAGCACTGAGTACCCGAATTAGTATCTGCTTCAATAAGGCACTAAATTTCTTATCTTGGCCCCACACTTACAGCTCTACAACCTTGGACCAGATCCCCCTCTCTGTGCCTCAGTTTCCTCTTCTGTGAACTGCAGAGAATAACTGCACCCACCTTGCTGGGTCATGGTGAGGTTTAAATACAATCATCTGTATAACACCCCCAAGGGCCTAGCACATTGGAAGCACTCATAAAAGTTGGTACTCATTAGTATTCTTATCACCATGGTAGGCTGAATGGTGACTCCCCAAAAGATACGTCCAAATTCTAACCCCTAGTACCTATGAATGTGACTGTCTTAGTTACTTAGGGCTGCCATAACACAAATACCACAAGAGGGTGGCTTTAAAGAACAGAAATTTATCTTCTCACAGTTCTGTAGGCTAAAAGTCCAAATCAGGGTATCACTCATGTCAATTCCTTTCTTTCTCATGGCCCTGGGTGTTCCTTGGTTCCTGGGCTTGAAGACAATCCTCACATGGTGTCTGTCTTCCCCCCGTGTGTATGTGTGTGTGTGTGTGTGTGTGTGTGTGTGTGTGTGTGTGTGTCTAATCTACTCTTTTTAGAACTCAAAAGTGATTAGGTTTAGAACCCACCCTACTTGGGTATGATCTAATTAACATAACAAAGAAAACCCTATTTCCAAACAGGATCATATCCACAGGTTTAGGGGTTAGCATTCCAACACAATTTTGGGAAGGACACGATGTAATCCATAAGAGTGATTTATTTGGAAATACAGTCTTTAAGGATAGATGTAATTAAGGATTTCAAGATGAGATCATCCTGGATTTAGGTTGGATCCTAAATCCAGTGCCTGGTGTCTTTATAAGGTAAACAAGAGAGAGAGACTTGAGATAGAGCTACAGAGAGAAGAACGTCATGTAAAGACAGAGGCAGAGATTGGAGTGATGAGGCCACAAGCCAAGGAACACTAAGGATTGCCAACAGCCACTAGAAGTGGCAAAGAAGGATTCTCCTCTAGAGAACTTCAGAGGGAGTGTGGCCCTGTCGAAACCTTGATTTCAGACTTTTGGCCTCCAGAACTGAGAGAGGATATAGTTCTGTTGTTTTTAATGTACTAGTTTGTGATAATTTATTATGGCACCCCTAGGAAATTCATATAATCATTATTATCGTTCATTTAAAAATATCATTCTCTTTGAAATTTCTTTTATCTCGTCTCCACCATGTACTCCAGGCAGGCACCCATCCATCTGTCTTCTTAACCCCTATGACTCTGGTTAGAGTAACCAAAAAAAAAAAAAAAAACCCACTGCTGTCAAGTCAATTCTAACTCACAGTGACCCTACAGGACAGAGTAGAACTGCCCCATAGGGTTTCCAGGGAGCAGCTGGTGGCTTTGAACTGCTGACCTTTGGGTTAGCAGCCAAACTATTAACCACTGTGCCTAAGGGCTGTGGTATACTAAGGAGAGAAAAGAGTAATCCTCCTAATATTAGCCATATAAAATCAACCATGGCCAAAGACTAGAGGTTGGCCTGTGTGCTGAAAAATTACTTTACCCAAATAGTTTGGGTTTTGTTGCAGGCTCCTGGGAGGCTGGGAGGTAACTTTTTGAATTTCCTAGTGATTGGAGTGTCTTTGTTATTCATGCAGGGATCCAGACCACCTAAGAGTCTGAGATAACCTGATGATTCAGGGTGGGAGCCAGCCATGCCGGAGGACCCACCATGTGGGAGAGCCCAACCTCAAGGGAGAGATGGGGGCTGGAAAATGCATTTAGTCACATGGTCAGTGATTCCAGAAATCACAACCACTTAATAAAACCTCAGTAAAAACTCAGGATACCGAAGCTCAGCTGAGCTTCCTGGTTGGTGATAGACATTAGTGCACTGGGAGAGTAGTGTATTCCTGGGAAATGAAAGCTCCTGGACCTTTTTCTATGTGTCTCCTCTTTGGTATCCTTTTTTGCGATAATAAAACTGTAATGATAATTATTTAAAAAAAAAAAAAGAAAGTAAGGGCTGTGCCCCCCTCAGCAGGCCCGGATCTCTCTTCCGTCCTGCTGTAATGTCTAACCCTGCTTTCCCTCTCCTGGCTCGAGGATCTCCAGGACTCAGCAGGAACAGAGAGCCTCATGGCCCAGCCTGCCCCCAGGACAGGGAGAGAAAACAATGTCTCCACCTACCATGTGCTTTTCCCGCCTCAGCAACGAGTCCAAATGCAGCAGGTCTTTTAAGTGAAGGTTGTAGACACACAAGTTAATGTCTACACTGAAAAATAAAAAGACAAACAGAGAATACTTGTAGAGCATTTGAAATGAGGGATGAGGATACAGAATATCAACACGTCCCTGCTCAGTGCAGGTCACAGCACTTCTGACTCCAGATGTTCAATTCTATAGTGTGCTGATACTCCCAATACGATATGAAGGGAATACATGATATGTGATATGATGATATGGGATGATAAACCCACCCAAGGTTTATAAGATGGAATCAAATGAGCTAAGAGACACCCACCAATGACCAGAGGGGAGAGTTAGTGTAAGAGACACAGCTGCCTGTGACATCAGAGACAAAACGTATGAAGAGAAGGAAGGTGAGAGGAATGAAAAATAGCATTTCTTCCTTCGAGATCTCATCTTTATCACCACACGTCCACTGCCCACCTGTCAGTTTGTCATACTGCGGTGGCTTGCGTGTTGTTGTGATGCTGGAAGCTATGCCACTGGTATTTCAAATACCAGCAGGGTCACCTATGGTGGACAAGTTTCAGCCGAGCTTTCAGACTAACACAGACTAGGAAGAAAGGCCTGGAGATCTACTTCCAAAAATTAGCCAATAAAAACATTATGGATCACAACAGAACACTGCCCAATATAGTGCTGGAAGATGAGCCCCTAGGTTGGAATGCACTGCATGGTGGCTGCAACAATGGGCTTGAGTATTGCAATGATCGCAGAGATGGCGCAGGACCAGGCAACCTGCCGTTCGGTTGTACATCGGGTCGACTTGGTGGCAACTAACAACAACAACAGCAATCATCACATGTAATCTTTCCTCGGTGCCCGATGTAAACCGCTCATTCCCATTTTACAGATGAGGAAACTGACTCAGGATATAGAAGACCAGAGAAATCAACGTAACAGATAAGCGGCAGAGTGTAATAAGGCTCTTTGGCCTTATTTCCCTCATAAAACCAAAAACCAAACCAGTTGCCCGCCATCAAGTTGATTCTGACTCATGGCGACCCCACGTGTGTCAGAGTACAACTGCGCTCCATAGGGTTTTCATGGCTGTGTCCTTTCAGAAGCAGATCACCAGGCCTTTCCTCTGAGGAGCCTCTTGGTGGGCTTGAAGCGTCAACTGTTCGGCTAGCAGCCAAGCACTTAACTGTTTGTGCCTCGCCCATCCAAAACCAAACCCATTGCCACTGAGTTGATTCCAACTCATAGTGATCCTATAGGACAGAGTAGAACTGCCCCATACAGTTTCCAAGGAGTGCCTGGTAGATTCGAACTGCCAACCTTTTGGTTAGCAGCCATAGCACTTAACCACTCCGCCACCAGAGTTTCCTTGTGCGCCCACAGGGACTCCTTATTTCCCTCATGTTATCCTTGCTGGTTGCTGTTGAACTGATTCTGATTCATGATGACCCCATGTGTTACAGAGTAGAACTACTCCATAGAGTTTTCTTGGCTGTAATTTTAACAGAAGCAAAGTGCCAGGCCTTTTCTTCCGTGGTACCGCAGGGTGGGCTCGAACTAGCAAATTCATTTTAAATGATGACATTTATACCCCAATGGTTACAAGTCATCCAAATCCACATGATGACAACAGCCTGTCCAAGCCAGTGCTGTCCAACCCAAGAAGGCTTCTGTTCAATAAAGTCCCTTTTCCCTGGGCCACCCTTCAGGGTCAACACCAAGCTCCAGGATCCGAGCCCGTTCTTTCCACAGCCCGGGGCCGTGGCCGTGCCCTGGCTCACCCCATCCAAGGCCCCCTGCAGTCTCCGAACTTTAGGGTAAAAAGAGGCCTGGGGGCCAATGGACAAACCTGCCAGGACTGACCTTCTTGAGCACCAACCACATGCCGAGCCTTGCTCTGGGCTGTAGAGTCTGGGGGTCTAGACAGCTGACTTTGGGATAAGCTGGCTGGGTCACAACCGGCTCTAACACTCACGTGCTGTGTGACCTTGGGAAAGTACCTTAGCCTCTCTGTGTCTTACTTGATTCTTTGTAAAACGGGGGAAATAATAGTACCTACCTCACAGGTTTGTTTGGAGCCCTGGTGGCAAGTGGTTAAGAGCTCGGCTGCTAACCAAAAGGTCAGCAGTTTGAATCCACCAGCTGCTCCTTGGAAACCCTATGGGGCAGTTCTACTCTGTCCTATAGAGTCACTATGAGTCAGAATCGACTTGACGGCAACAAGTTTGGTTTGTTTTTCTTTCATAGGGTTGTTAAACCAGGTGCCGAGTTGACTCTGACTCATGGCGATCCCATGTATGTCAGAATACAGCTGTGCTCTACAGGGTTTTCAGTGACTAATTTTTTATTAGTCGATCACCAGGCCTTTCTTCCAAGGCACCGCTGGATGGACTCAAACCGTCGACTTTCGGTTAGCAGCCAAGTGCTTAACCATTTGTGCCATCCAGGGACTCCACAGGGTTGTTAGGAGGAATTAATAAACCAATTAATTAATAAGTATTTATTGATCATTGAACCTGATCGATTGCTTCCATGGGTAATAGGGACACGGCCACAAACATGGTGGAGCGAGTCCTTGCACTCATAAGGTAATCCATGGAAAGTGCTTAGCACTCTGCCCAGTACACCAAAAAAAATAACCGTTGCTGTCGAGTCGATTCTGACTGTCACTTAATCAGTGCTAGCTGCTGCTATGCAATGCACAGGTCACATCAGCGATAAAACAAGGAGGCCCCCGACATTCTTCTGTAGTCCTAATCTTGGCAAACCCCATACGTTGTTGTTGTTAGGTGCTGCCAAGTCGGTTCTGACTCATAGCAACCCTATGTACAACAGTACAAAACCCTGCCAACCTCCCAATCCTTGTTATGCTTGAGCCCATTGTTGCAGCCACTGTGTCAATCCATCTCCTTGAGGGTCTTCCTCTATTTCACTGACCCTCTACTTTACCAAGCGTGATGTCCTTCTCCAGTCTCGCTATCCTTGCTTCTAAAGAACATTCTGACTGTACTTCTTCTAGGACAGATTTGTTTGTTCTTCTGGCAGTCCACGGTATACTCAATATTCTTCACCAACACCATAATTCAAAGGCATCAATTCCTCTTCCGTCTTCCTTATTCATTGTCCAGCACTCACATGCATATGAGGCAATTGAAAATGCCATGGCTTGGGTCAGGCGCACCTTAGTCCTCAAAGTGACAACTTTGCTTTTTAACACTTTAAAGAGGTCTTTTGCAGCAGATTTGCCCAATGCAATGCATCTTTTGGTTTCTTGACTGCTGCTTCCATGGGTGTTGATTGCAGATCCAAGCAAAATGAAATCCTTGACAACTTCAACCTTTTCTCCATTTATCATGATGTTGCTTGTTGGTCCAGTTGTGAGGATTTTGTTTTCTTTATGTTGAGGTATAATCCATACTGAAGGCCGTGGTCTCTGATCTTCATCAGTAAGTGCTTCAAACCCCACATAGTGAGAGGCAAACGCATCAAGAGCCCGGCTCTGACACTAGGCTGCTGTGTGTCCTTGGTTGAGTCAGTCAACCTCTCTGGGCTTCCATTTCCCCATCTGACAATACTATGACCCACTGGCTGGCTCAGAGAGAGCCAGAGGCCCCACCTCCCCCCACCGCCTTCCTTACCTCTCACAGGTCAGCACCTCGGGGAAGGTGTGCACCCGGAGAAAGGTGCGGCTGAGGAACCTGTCATCGCTGGTGGCCGAGTGGATGCTGGACGAGGAGCTGCCGTCGTCCTTGCCGGCCTGGCTCAGGCTCCCCAGGCTGCTGGACGGCGAGGCCTCCACCGCCTGGTTCGGCAGAGCAGTCTGCTTTAGGTTTTCGTGCAAAGACGGGTTGGAGGAACCGTCGGCCAAAGGCTGGGGCAGAAGAGAAGCCACTGTTGGTTAATTTAATCCAGGAGGCCGCGTGAGGGTGTCTGGATTGGTTTTCATCTGACATCAGTGACGCCTGAGGGTGGTCCATGGGAAGGCCTGGTGGAGCAGACTGGTGATGGGTGGACGGACAGGATCCCGGCTACCCCCATACCCCAGGGACCCTGGTCACAGCTTGTCCTCGCACTTGCCCCGAGGGCAGCCCCTGTGCACTGGTGCTCCTACCCCTAAGCTATTGCCCTGGCTCTGTTCCCGGTGGCCCTCCTGCTGTCAGCTCTGCCCTCCTGCACCAGCTGCCCATCCCTCTGTGCTGCTGGTCCAGACCCTGGGCCTGCCCTGTCTGCTTCCATCCCTGCTGGCCACCTAGATCCCCTCCACCTACACTGACGTCACCCAGAGCCTTTGAAGTGGCTCCCACTGCCCTCAGGACTGACTCAAAGCTCCTTCACAAGGGACTCGAGCCCCCAGGCACTGCCACGTGACATGGGGCAAGAGCTAGTGCCTGGCACGGCTGGGGTCCCAGCAATGCGGCCTGCTGCCCCTAATGCACAGCCTGAGCAGCACTGAGCTGGCCGCCGGCCCCAGGCCCTTCTTGTCATCTCACCCTCCTGGCTTCCCAGGCCTGCTCCCCTGCCCGAAATGCCCTGCCCTCAGGGTTTGCTGGGCGGGAGCGTCCACCTGACACCGATCCTGGAGTCTCCCCTAATGACCGGGCCCACTCCACGCTGGTCCCGCAGGCCCCTGGTTGTTCCTGTGTCGCCGGCTCCCACGGGCTGCCTCACTGTGAGGGCTCCAGGGTGGGGATGAAGCTTCTTGAGCCTTAGCTAGTCTCCAGAGCCCACCACGGGGCCTCACGGCTGCTGCGCAGCATGTGGGGTGGGTGAACCCACGCCCCTAGCCTGGGAGTTTTGCCCCTTCATCCACCCATCAGATAGCTAAGTCAAGGAGGGGGTTCCCAGTGTGTGTTCCGGCGAACCACTCCATGAACTATAACCAGTTACTCCTCACAGCAAGGGTTCCGTGGAGAAACTGCATTGGGAAAGGCTGGGTTCACCAATATGACACAATTTCTTCAGTGCAGGAGTTCACAGACCCCTCAATGTGCTCTGGGTCTCTTCTGAGGCAAATAATGATTTAAAAAACCCTAACAAGGACCCAGTGCTTACAGTATTGCGCACAGGCTCTAAGGCCTTAGGTATCTCATCCCATTTAACTCTCACAACACCTGGGGAGGGAGGAGGCTCACTGTCCCCATTTCACAGGTGAAGAAACCGAGGCCTGAACGAAGTTAGGAAATGGCCGAGGCCACACAGCAAACGGCTGGGATGGGAATGAGGATCGAGACAGAGTGACTCTAAAGCCTGTTTCTTCAATGCCAGGAGTGTAGGCAGCATCTTTGTAAATTTACTTGAGCGGGAACCTCTTTTTCCACAGCTCATGGGCCGAGGCTCCTTGAGGCACTGTGGGATATACCGATCTCAGCGCAACTCCCAGCCACAGGTGTGAATTCCTGGCTGAAGGTGTGAGATCTGTAGCCAGGTGCCTGGGTTTGACTCAGGCTCTGCCACTTTTTGCTGTGTGGCCTTGGGCAGGTTATTAGCCTCTCTGGGCCTCAGTTTCCTTTTGTGTAAAGTGGAAACAGTGATATTATTTACTTAGCAGCATTATCGGAGGTTGGAATGCCTAAGGCATGACAAATACTTAGCACTCTGCCAGCCCCACAGGAAGTGTTCAACACATGTCAGCTGCCAGCGTTCCTGCAGCCCTGGGGTCTGTGAACGAGGGGTGACGGCAGTAATTTTGCCAGTATCAGTCCCTGTATTAGCGTTAAAGGAACAGGGCAGTGCTGGCATGTCCTTCTGTGTTGCTGCCCTACTGTGCTGTCCCTGGTGTGCCTGCAGACAACAGAAACTACAGTTTTTTCTTACCCTGATATAACAGGATGTACCCTGTTCCCTGACAATGCTGTCATAACATGGATTAACTAAAGTTTGGCTCCATTACAAGGCCTCAGATGATCCCTATTAAAATGCCATAAAATCCTCAAATAAGACCAGAACTTGTGCGTGTAACCCCCTACACCCACGTCAATCTCTAGTACATTACTGAAGAACTGCATTTCTAAAACTGAGCTCAGAACTCTCACCCGGAATTTCTGATTGATGGGATAGACGACTTTTGCCTTCAGTGCAAATGCTGTGATGTTGCTGTTGAAAGACGGCTCACATTCCTGGGAAGAAAGAGAACAAACGACACGGGAGGCTTTCTGTAAAATGAGGTGGAGCCAGCCAAGTACTGGCAAAGTGCCACATCCCATTGTAACAGTGGCCTCAGCAAGGGGCCACAAGAGGCACACTCAGGTCCAAGTAAGTGCTCACTTGCCAGAAGGACGGATGGATGGATGGATGAATGGTTGATTAAATGGGTGAATGGATGGATGGATGAATGGTTGACTGGATGGATGGATAGTGGATGGACGGTTGATTGAATGGATGCATGGGTGGTGGATGGATGGACGGGTGAGTGGATGGATGGATGGGCAGATGGTGGATAGACAGATGGGGAGATGCATGGATGGTAGAAAGATGGACAGTGGATAGATGGATGGGTGGAGGGCTGGCTGGCTGGCTGGCTGCATGGATGGATGGATGAATGGGTAGATGGTACCTGGATGGGTGTAGAGATAGGTGGGTGGATGGATGGTTGAATAGATGGATGGATGGATGGTGTATGGATGGGTAGACAGGTAGGTGGGTGGGTGGATGGATGGATGTATGCAGGTATGCATGGATAGATGGTTGATTGAAATGTGGATGGATGGGTAGATGGATGGGTGACGGCTGGATGAATGGACAGATGGATGGGTGGAAAGATGTTATCAAAAGAGATCGACACATTATTCATTTAATTCTAATTCTTCAGCTTTGGAAGAAATAAAGAGTTGAATAACATAAGAATAATTAATAAGAGTCTTTCTAAAAATTGTAAATCACCTTTTAGTGGCAAAAGCAAACCACAAAATAATTTTAGTATTGTCAGGGATATAAGCATGTACACTGACAGTACACACGCAAGACTTTGGATAAGGCCCTTCAACGAAATTAAGTGGTCGACCAAGTTTTGTTTTTTTTTTTTAATTGTTGTAAAAATATATATAACACACCATTTGCTAATTTAATATTTTTCACACGTACAATTAGGTGACATTAATTACATCAATCATGTTATGCAACCATCACCAGTATCTGTTGTGGGTGGGCAAAGCCTTTTAACTTCTCTGAGCCTCCGTCTTCCCAGACAGGGAACAGGTGTGGAATCCCCCCACCAAGGACCAGATAGGTAAAGCACAGAGCTGAGTTGCTTGAACAGAGGAGAAGCTAAGCAATGGTAGCTATGAATGGTAGTAGTAACAAGCTGCTCTCAAAGCCTGCTCAGGAATCACCTCCACCAAGAAGCCTTCCCTGACTGCAGCCAGATGGACATATACATAATCTGCTCTACATGCCCACATCATCTGTGCATCTGTCTCCTTTTAGGGTAGCCCTGCAGCACTTTGCAAAGGCAGCGCCGAAGAAATGCTCTTGAAATAGCCATTTTCAAGTGAATGAAGACTGGGAGGCTGGCCAGGTGCCTGGAACTCTGGACCATAAGAAATCTCTACTCAACAATTCCAAACAGGTTGACCTTTGAAAACTGCATCTAAGTTGACTTCCGTGCTTTTCACCTAAACCTTGACGAAAGAGCTCCATAAGAAACTATGGATTCCCAATTGCTAAGTTCACCTTGGAATAAGACACCCCATCATGGGGAATGCAGAGGATTTATTTCTCTTTCAATGTGGGGCATTTAAACAGCATCTGATGGAGCTGGCAACACGGCCTGTGCACATCCCAAGAGTTTCACCTTGATGCCCTTCTGAGCGAAGCAGTGAGGGAAGCTATGTGGCAAGGGCCTAATCATTTCAATCTATACTTTGTGACGTGCAAAACCAGACTTAGATGACAAGAATGGGGAAAGGCCAGAGCATGGTGACCTTCTGTCTTGGTCTCTTAGGGCTGCTATAACAAACTACCACAGACTGGGTGGCTCGGAAGAACAGAAATGTATTGTCTCACAGTTCTGGAGGCTGGGCATCCCAGATCAGGGTGTTGGCAGTGTTGATTCTTTCTGAGGCTCTGAGGGAGAATCTGTTCCATGTCTCTCTCCTAGCTTCTGGTGACAGCCTGCGATCCTTGGCATTCCTTGGCTTGTGAACGCATCACTCCAATCTCTGCTTCTATCCTCACATGCTGTCTTTCCTCTGTCTGCCTCTCTGTCTCTTCTCTTTTATAAAGGCACCACTCATATAGGATTAAGGAGCCTTGGCAGCACAATGGTTATGTGCTTGGCGGCTAACTGAAAGGTTGGTGGTTTGAACCCATCAGCTGCTCTGCAGGAGAAAAGACCTAGCGATCTGCTCCTGTAAAGATTACAGCCTAGGAAACCCCATGGGGGCAGTTCTACTATGTCCTATAGGTTCGCTATCGACTGGATGGCACACAACAACATATAGGATTAGGACCCAACCTACTCCAGTATGACCTCATGTGAACTGATAACATCTTCAAAGACCCTATTTCCAAACAAGGTCATGTTCACAGGTCCTGGGGGTTAGGACTTCAACACATCGTTTATAATTATTCAATTCACAATACCTGCTTATGCTTCCAAGAACCTGCCAGAGGAGCTCCTATCTCCGTTTATCAGATTAAGAAAATAACACTCAGAGAGGTTAAGCCACTTGTCCAAGGCCACACAGCTAGTAAGTGCCGGATCAGGATTTGAGCTGAGATTCCCTGGTTCCAAATTCCAGGCTTTTTAGCCGACACCATGTTGTCTCCTTCAACATGACACAAATAGGAACAAGAGTAAGAGCCACGAAGGCGAGAGGAAGTGTAAGCTCAGGATGCAGGGCCCGGCAGTAAGAGAGCTGCTGGGCTTGGCTTCCCCATGCCCCAGGACCACGGGCCAGTCACTGTCACTCCCACACCCAATCAACCACCTCATCCATTTCACCTCCTAAATACTTCCCCGATCCAGAGCCCTGGTCTAAGCCTTCACCACTTTTACCCTGAATAGCTGCAATAGCCTCCAGCAGGCTCCCCATCCTTGAATTAGGGGCCTATTGTGTGCTGCTGCAAGTGGTTTGCAATCACCTCCTAACCTAAAGGTTGGTGGTTTGAACTTACCCAGCAGCACCACAGAAGGAAGGCCTGGCGATCTGCTTCTGTAAAGATCACAGCCAAGAAAACCCTGTGGAGCAGTTCTACTCTGTAACACATGGGGGCGCCACACGCTGGAACTGACTCGGCAGCAACGAGTTTCTTGGTTTACTGCGTGCTAGGTGTTTTACGTACATTTGCTCATTTGATTATCACAGAAAAGCAGCTTAATGAGGTACGTATTATTATCATACCCATTTACAGAGGGATAAAACAAGGCTTAGAGTTGCTGTTGCCGGTGTTGTTAGCCGCCCTTAGGCCAACCCCAACTTATGGAACCCCAGGCATAAGAAAAGGAAAAGCTGCCTGGTCCCGTGACATCCTCATGATTGACTGCGGACTGGACGGTTGTGATCCACTGGGTTTTCATCGGCTGATTTTCAGAAGTAGACCACCAGATTTTTCTTCCTAGTCTGAGTCCAGAAGCTCTGCTGAAACCTGTTCAGCATCATAGCAACACCCAAGCCTCCACTGACAGATTAGTGGTGGCTGCGCATGAGTTGCATGGGCTGGGAATCGAACCCCGGTCTCCTGCATGGAAGGCGATGATTCTACCACTGAACCACACCTTCTAACTCATTCTCCCCCTACCAACAGGATGATTTTTTAAATACGCAATTCCCATCACTGCCTGGTTTGAAATCCTTCCTGGGGTTCCTTTTCTCTGAGGGTCCAGAGCAGGGCCTGTTCCCAACCGCCACCCCTAGCAGCCTGTCCCACTCTGCCTGAGCTTGTTTGGCAAAAGCAGAGAAGAACAGTATGATGAAAACGGCTGGCTCCGGGACCGGCTCCTCATTGGTGGAGCCAGGGCAGAATGAAAACAGGGCGCTTGTTAAAAACCATGAAGAATTTCAACACAGCAACAGCAGAGCCCAGCAACCAAGTGTGGGTCCCTCTGGGCATGAGTCCCACGTGAGCGCCCGGGCTGCACCCAGGGTCAGATCACCCAGTATGCAAGGTAAGCACGGGCTTACTTGTGCTTACTTACTAATCTGTAGTGACCAATTCCATGGGTTTCACCACAGGTTAGTAAGTAAGCACAAGTAAGCCCATACTTACCTTGCTCACTGGATCATCCGTCCCTGTCAGGGACTGTAAATGTGAAAAGAGGCTTTGATTCTGTAGGAAGGTGCTGTGAGGTTGAGAGAGAGACAGAGGCCAGCCCTACCTAGAAGTAGAATCTTTGATGTGGTGAAAACATGTGAAATTGCTCACTACAGATGATCTGGTAAGCAAGGTGAGCACTGTGCTTACTTTGCCTACTAGACAATCCACCCCAGGCTGCACCGCACGAAGTCGGCCACAGGTGGAGGCTCGTTTGCTCAAGAAGAAGGTGCAAAAGCAGAAAGAATAGTGTGCATTTTGAACTTCTAACAAAAGTGGGAAAAAGAAAGGACAGTGGGGAGAGTGAGAAGGGGTGGTCTTCTGCTCCCCAGGGGCTCATCTTCAAAAGGGGAGACGCAAAACAACAAGTGCACTGAACTGCAATTAATGTGAAAAGATGATTATAAGAAAAGGACCCACAAAAGCAGGACCTGGCATAGGGGAGGCCTGGGCACGCGCATTCAAAACACAGCTCCTAGCTGATGATGAGTCCGGGGGTGGCACAAACGGTTAAGCACTTGGCTACTAACCAAAAGGTTGGAGGTTCGAGTCCATCCAGAGATGCCTTGGAAGAAAGGCCTGGCAATCTGCTTCCAAAAGGTCACAGCCATCAAAAAACCAAAGGAACACAATTCTATTCTGCAACACGTGGGTCGCCATGAGTCAGAGTCTCCTCGACCGCTGACGGTAATCTTGCACTTGTGTGGAGACCCTCTGACTGCCGTCCCCTGGAGGTCAGGCACCGAGGGCGGTGATGGGTCTGCAGGAATGAAGGACGGGGAAGCGCTCGGCACAGAGTCAGGCGTGAACCAGCTTCTGCTACCTGAACAGCATCCTCTGCTTTCGTTTTGTTTTTTTAAAAGGC